AGCATTTCCAACAATGTTCTAAATGGCCACGTGGAAAAGGCAGAGAGATGGATACACACTACAGGGAGGCAGAAATCTATGATCAAATCTTCTGTTCCTTTAAAACTGTGAAGAAGGAAAGAATCGGGTAAATGAGAAGGTTCCTTACGAATAAACTGGAAAACCCAGAACCGAGTGTGACTTCTCCCCAAAGGGTCTAGAAAGGGCAGCTGGCATCTCAACCCCTCCTTCCAAGCTGATTTGATCTATTTCCCCCACAATTTATATATGAATGGAAAGGAACTGTTTTCCTGACTTGCACAGTATTTGTGGTATGTGGAAAATGCCCAGTGAAGGTGTAATAAATAAGTCAGGTTTTAGTTTACACCCCAGAGGCTCTCTTCTCACCTACCAGATGGGTTTTCTTTCAGGTTTAGGTATTTAATGGATTTTATTGTCAAGAAGGTACCAGCTCTCATAAAGAAAAAATACGCATGGCGGATGAAGGAATTGGTTCGAATCTTATATCAGTTGTAGAGCAGCTGTTCTCAAAGGTGGTCCCAGGAACAGCAGAGGCAGCCTCCTCGGCACCTTGCTAGATTCCACCCCGTCTACTGGGCAGTGTCTCTCGGTGGGGCTGGACGCTGGTGCTGTGACCTGCTCTCCAGGTGACGTTGGTGTAGCTCAAGCTGAGAGCCCTCTTGTGAAAAGACCCATCAGTCACCGACCACCTGCGTGTAAAGCGTGTGTCACAGCGCCTGACTCTGGGTACTGGATACATTTTGATCTCCAGCCTTCCTTTACCACTTCTTCTGTTGGACAGAATGAAATCTTGTGGACATTTAACATTTGAAAAACTGTACAACCTCTCCACGGTAAGTCACTTCAATCGTGTCTGACTCTTTGCAACCCTGTAGACCATAGGAACCCACCAGGCCCCTTTGTCCATGGAAGTCTACAGGCAAGAACACTACAGTGGACTGCCATGCCCTCCTCCAGGGGATCTTCCCGACCCAGGGATTGATCCCTCGTTTCTTATGTCTCCTGAATTGGCAGGTGAGTTCTTTACCACTAGCACAACCTCTCCAGTCATGAGCAAATTTTAAAAAACAGTGGAACACACTTTAAATCGGATTGATAAGCATATGAGAAAACACATACACATTGTGTATGGGAGTAGGAACTGGGGCAGTCTTTAAGAAGATTCATTTAACTCTGTGGACTCTGCAACCTCTGCCTCTCTGACCCATCAGCTGTGCTTTCAGGAGTTTCCTGCAAAAGTAGCAGGCGCCCAGAGAAATGGTGCCCAGAAACATTATTTGTGATAGCAAAACATCGGAAACAGCTTGAATGAAAAACTCTTAGTATTGGATTGTCTGTATTAAAATTGATGCACAGATAAACATAACAGCATACCTGGAAATGCATTTTGGAGCTGTGTTGGAGTTGGAAATATGTAGAAATGATGTAGAAAGATAAATTCTCAAATAGACCACAGTGATTATCTCCAGGGTCGGATCACAGAGATGAAGAAAAGGTAGATGGAAGTTTTGAACATTCTTCTAAAATGCCTGTACTGTTTTTAAACCACAAGAATATGCAAATTTTGTGATTTAAATAGTCACAACTAAAATGAAAGTGAAAAGAAATCTCTAGAGGCTATATTGCAATCAGGATGGTATGACTCAGGCTTTAAGTTAGAAAAGGTGTGTGCGGACCCAGCGCTGGTGGTTTTGGGAGCAGAAGGCTCTGGACGTCCTGATGCAGAGGAGACTGCAGGGCAGCGGGGGGCAGAGGGTAGCCCGTGGGTGAGGACTAGGAGCTGCGTAGATGCCCTGCAAGGGACTGTCACTTCTCAGAGCCTGATTCTTGTAACTGAGTTCCAACACAGATCCTGCACCAGGTGACGCTCAGCCAGTGTCTCTCCCAAGGGAGCAGCTAAGCCAAAGTTGCTCAGCATAATTACCGCTGATCCCTTCATGATTTAATTGGGGAGACACATATGTAAACACAAGGGGAAATGAGCATAATGGAGTGACTGGGGCCAGGGAAACCCAGAGGAATGACTTCCCCCCTGTGCAAGTTACCCGCAGGGGCAGACTTGTAACTTGGAAGCGGGAATATGGAGGAGGGCAGAGGACTTGGAAGAGGGAGAATAGAGTTTGGGAAATTTGTCTGCAGCTCTTGCAATAATCCAAGACATAATAATTGGGAGGCACTTTGGAAGGAGAACAAGCAGGAATGCTGTCAGCACAGGGAGTAGGATGTTTCCCCTGGAAACAGGTACTTGTAGGTGATTACTGGGTTTCCCAGGTGGCTCAGCGGTGAATAATTCTCTTGCAACCTGGGAGACATAGGTTTGATCCCCAGGTCGGGAAGATGCCCTGGAGAAGGGAATGGCAAACTACTCCATTTTTCTTGCCTGGGAAATCCCATGGACAGAGGAGCCTGGCAGGCTACAGTCCACAGGGTCACGAAGAGTCGGACATGACTGAGTGACTAAGCAAGCAAGCAAGGAAATATGTGATTAAATGAAAGATCTTAAATGGGAAGATTATCCTGGATGGTCTTGGGGACCCAGTGGAGCCTCAAGGACCCTTATACAACGAACAAGGGAGGGGTAGAGGCAGAGAAGGGGTCGTGGTGGCGGGGGCAGATGGAGAGGGAGTCTGCAAGATGCTGCGGTCCTTGCTCTGAAGATGGGGTCAGAGGTCGTGGACCAGAGATGCAGACAGCCTCTGGCCCCTGGAAAGGGAAGCGCCCTGAGGAGGAACCAGCCATCCAATGCCTTCCCTTCAGCTCCATGATGCTCATTCAGGACAACTGTGAGAGAGTAAGAGAGCCGTCGTGCCAGGGGGTAACTCCTTACACGGCCAGAGACAACTCCTGTGTGGTCCGTTGGGCCACCAGAACCGTGTAAGCTTAGATCTGTTCTGTGCTGAGCTCTAGGCCACGGACGTCTTTACTGGGCCTGCCCTGTAGAAAGCTTCTCTTTCTGGCACGGACAGATGGAGGAGAGGTCCTATTCGCCAGTTCAGGAATTAACACCGCCGGCATCACCATTACCACTCTGGAGTGCTCTTGTGTGGGCGTTACTCTGACTCAGCTTTCCTCTGAAGATACTCCAGGGGCTGGGGACATAGCATCTGCGGAGGTAAACTTGACCGCTACAGTCCCACGTGGGGGAGGAAACATGGCCACAGACTTGGCGAGAAGACCAGCCCAGCTCTTGCAGAAGAAACTAGAACACATCCGTGGGCCCAGGGACCTTCCTAATCACCGGGAACTGAACCAAGAGACCTTCATCCCAAGACCGCCTGAGTTCTGAGCACATGGTCATTCAGAACCAGGGCCGCAGGGTGCGGAGCCGCAGCCAGACCCCGAGTCCCGCCTCCCGCTTTGGATCTGGCAGCTCGGGGGGGCGAGCCTGGCTTCCCATCCTGTGCTCTGATCTGGGCCAACCCTTTTCTCTTTTCTCTTTTTTGGTTTGGAGGTGACTGTTCACCAGGGAACAAAGTGACCTCGTCAGCAAGTTACAGACAGACTAAACGTTCTGCTTCACAGAGGATTCGTCTCTGACTTCACCGTAATAGCCGAGCTGCCGGTCTTCGTGTCTTCAGAGGGGGTTGCCGCACCCGCCGGCCTTCTGCTGGGCGCAGACAAGCCTCTGGGAAGCCCCTGGCCTTCTGCTGGGTGCAGACAAGCCTCTGGGAACCCCTGGGTCTTCTGCTGGGTGCAGACAAGCCTCTGGGAACCCCGGGGTCTTCTGCTGGGTGCAGACAAGCCTCTGGGAACCCCTGGGTCTTCTGCTGGGCGCAGACAAGCCTCTGGGAATGGCTACGGCCATCTGTCCCATGCCCCCCGAGCCTCTTACCCAAGCCTTCAGAGTCCTGAATTTTCTCCAGCCTGGACCTGTCGACTGGCACGGGGAACTCTCCTCAACATTCTGTGACAGCCTATGTGGGAGAAGAATCTGAGAGACAGCGCTGAAGGAGTGTGTCCAGCTGAATTGACTCTGCCACGCACCTGAGGCTGACACAACATTGTAAGTCAGAGTGAAAGTGAAAGTGAAGGCGCTCAGTCATGTCTGGCTCTTTGTGACCCCATGGACTGTAGCCTACCAGGCTCTTCCATCTGTGGGGTTCTCCAGGCAAGAATACTGGAGTGGGGTTGCCATTTAAGTCAACTATAGTCCAAAAACAAAACAACAGCAACAAAAGCTACTCCGGCCAGCACAGTGTAAGCTGTCACCTTTATTCCACATTCTACTTTGTAATGAGAAAGCCAACAGCTCTTCAGTGCCTTCAGCCCACAGGCAATCCATTTACTCAAAGCTGGCTCACTGGCTCCTCAAGGTGAGACATCCTGACTGCTTCTTGGGTGGAAGCCTGAATGCTCGACCAGATGGGATTAAGATGATTTTATCAGCTCAGTGGGAGCGTCCGTTCTTCGCTGATGAACGTGATGAAATACCTCTTTGGTAAATCTTGTGATTAACCACAGACGGACACTGGCAAACTGCAAATGTCCCCAATACATACACAGAAAGTGTCTGGTGGAAGGTTGGGACAGGGATTTTATTTTCATAAAAGAGGCTGAGGAAGAGCAAGAGGAAAAATAAGCAGCAGAGTCTGGAGAGAATGCAAAATGTGAAGAAAGTGGAAAACGAGATCATGTTTAAAAGGGAAAGTGTTAGTCGATCAGTTGTCTGACTCTGTGCGACCCCATGGACTGTAGCCCCCCAGGCTCCTCTGTGCATGGAATTCTCCAGGCAAGAGTACTGGTGTGGATTGCCATTCCCTTCTGCAGGGGCTCTTCCTGACCCCTGGATCGAACCTGGGTCTGTTATTTACAAACTGAGCCCCTAAGATCATGTTTAGTGTCTAAATAATACCAAGAACATAGCAGAATGCCATTGGACACCATGTGATTCTGCATTTAGTCTTGTTCTTAAAGGGGATGAAAGACTGGCTTTCTGGTTTGATAAGCCATGTGCTTGATGAGAGAACGGAGTAGCTCGGATGCTCAGGGCTTTTGTCCGGAAGAAGGACGGCACTCAGGTGGGGTTGGGGGTTGGGGGACTAGGAGCCTCAAGGAAGTGGCTTCCCAGGGCAGGTGTGATGCTGGCAGGGCGGTGGGCTCCAGAGTCACCAGCCAGGAGCGTGGCCCGCCTCAGGGGTTCACGCTGCCTCCACAGGACAGACCCTGGGGCAGCTTCGATGTGCTGGTGACAGCACTGACCTGGGCAGCAGGTCGTCTCCTCTGTGGGAGCCGGGAGCCCCTTCCCCAAACATGAGCCCAGGAGAACCCCTGAGAAGCCTGCCCTGAATCCTAAGGTCTCTAGATTTCACAAGCTTCCTATTAAAATGCTAATGATGCTCAGATCCCAGCCCCTGGGAGATACTGTGGATTATTCTGCTATGGAAAATCTCATCACACCTCTGGAAGCCCAGAGTGCCCACTAACATGGCTATGAGAGCTATAATAACAGTTTTAATAATCGATGGCCTCTCAGACACTTAATTTTGGTGTAACAGAATTAACTGAATTCTAGAGCTGGAAAGGATTTAAAGAAGCACGATTTCCAAAGTCTCCTGCTGTACGTTGGGAAAGCAGGGCCCAGTGACCGGATCCAGCAGAGCTGTGGGTGGAGGCCCAGTGGTCCCCTCACTGGGGGCCGAGTGCACAGACGCCCACGAGGCCTGTGCTGGACCCCTTAGGTTTCCCAACTCCTGCGGCCCCATCTGCAGGATCTGTCTTGACGGAATTTGAGCTTCTCAGTAGAGCTACTAGTGGAACGAGGGTACGGTATTTGTCTTTTAGATCAGGAGCTAGGACTCAGAGCGGTTTAGTGACTCAACTCTGTAAACAAAACAAAGTACAAAAGGGGAAAAAAAAAAATCCCTGCGATCACACTTGGCTCTTGGTCCAATGCACCTCCCCCTCTCCCTGCAAAGTGTCAAGTCTGGTCCTGGAACCCTGGGGCTTTATCTGGGCCCTGGGAGGCCACCAGCTGGTAGCTGGGTTCCTCAGGGTCCCTACAGTCAGGGGGCCTCAGGAAGGGGGTGTTTGGAGCAGGTAGACATTCAGAAGGTCAGCATGACCAGGCCTCAGGGCCCTTTCCTTCCCCACAGGGCTCTGGGCCTGGCAAGGCTCTGCCTGTGTCTGGGGAGGAGAGGAGAGGGTGGCTCCCACAGGTCTCCTGACATGCTCTGCAGGTTGTCAGGCCAAGGGCTCCAGTTCCTGTGGTCCTATAGCTGTCAGGTCAGGCGAGGTCCCCATGGTGGACACTCTCTTCTGGGGTCCCCACACTCCAGCTCCTTCAGTGGGGCTTGCAGGGGTGGGCCAGCACCAAGGGAGGGCCTGACATGAGCATGGGACCAGCAAGGACCGGTGGGGCCTCCAGACCCCTCTGCCAGGCCATCTGATGGGGTTTGGGGGCCAGTCCTTGCAGGTCCAGCGCTTCTGATGGTCACTCCCTGCCCCGCCAGCCACCTGTTCTTCAGGGGAGGCCGACCTTGCCAAGAGCAGCAAAGAGCCTCTCTCCAGGGCTCCATCCTGCGCTCACATGGCACATGGCTCCCTCCAGCGATCACATGGCTCAGCTGGGGCCTCCTTCTGCACAGACTGGGGCTGGCAGAGCTGAGGCAGGTCTGAGTATGTACCAGGAGCTCCTGGTGACGCAGTACTGCGGAGGTGAGAACTTAGAGAACAGTTGAGGCCTCACCTCTTGTGGAGGTCACACTTACACACTGAGGTCCTCTTTACGAGGCGAGCTGCTCCGAAGCCGTGATTCAGAGCTTCTCAAAGCGAAGTCCCCAAAGCAGGAGGATCAGCAAGAGGGTCCTGATCCTGATCCTCAGGGACCTCATTAGAAACTCAAGTTCTTGGGCCCCACTCCAGACCTACTGAGTCAGAAATTGGGGCTGCAGAAACTGTTTTAACAAGACTTCCCGGTGATACCAGGCTTCCCAGGTGGTGCTACTGGTAAAGAACCCAGCTGTCAATGCAGGAGACATAGGAGTGTGGGTTCGATCCTTGGGTCGGGAAGATCCCCTGGAGGAGGGCATGGCAACCCACTCCAGTATTCTTGCCTGGAGAATCCCATGGGCAGAGGAGCCTGGTGGGCTACACTCCAGGGGGTCGCAAAGAGTCAGACACAGCTGAGTACATACATAGATACATTCACTGCAGTTTAAAGGAAAAACAACCCCATAGGTTTCATAAATTTGGCATAAGTGGATAAAATGACTTACTATTATCTCAGATTTCTTTTCTGGAAAGAATAGTTTTACCTTAACACGGTGTGTGTGAATGCAGATAGAGTCTTACATTCAGAGTAGAGCACATGGCTTAGTTAACGGTGCCGCCGCCGGCACCCATTTTTCCAAAGGCTTTAGAAACTAGAATTATAATTGAACCGTATCTACATCCTTGTCGCTCAGCACTGAGATTGTTTCACTGCACATTTATGTGCAGGTTTTCTAAGCTGCATTGCCTTTCTAATTACACTTATCTGCACATAATTTAGGCCAAGTTTGAAGTACTCTCCAGCTTACAATTTCCAGAGAATGATTAGCACATGATCTGCACATGAGTTGGGTTCTAGACACCCTTTAACAGGTGAGCTGTGTGACTTTGGTTATTTTCTCCTGTTTAAAAAAACAAACAAACAAACAAAACAAACCCTGTGATGGTTAATCTCCAGGCCTGTTGACAACATCTCCTTTTAAAAATTTTTTTTCTTAATCCACCCTGTTCCTAGAGTATGGCATGATCATTAAACTGAACTCCAGGACTTAATCATCTATATAATACAATGATAATATTAAGTGTGTTAAGGTATTTATTAATTACATCCAGCATAGAGCTTTCTAGAGAGATTGTTGGACCACATAATCACTAAGTCTCTAATGAAAGGGGTATCCTGTTTACTATCAGAATCTGCCTGCAAAGCCAGAGACCTGGGTTTGACCCTTGGATTGGGAAGATCCCATGGAGAAGGGTTTGACCCTTGGGTTGGGAAGATCCAATGGAGAAGGGCCTGGTCACCCACTCCAGTGTTCTTGCCTGGAGAATCCCATGGACAGAGGAACCTGGCGGGCTCCAGATCATGGAGTTACAGAGTCGGACATGAGTAAGTAACTTAGTACATGTGCACTCTTCACTGCAGCCAGCTCCTTGATTTCTTGAATGAGATCTGCCTAGAAGATCAGACATAGTTAACAGTGCTGTGTTTTCTCTGCTGGTTGGCCGTTTCGACCCTTCTTTGGGTCAGTTCTTGGCACTGGTGATCTGGTGATGTCAGGCTTTCTCTCCGTGCTCACAGGCACTGTGTGTAGGTGGTCTTGGCATGTCCAGAGCATACCTGCATCTCTGAGAGAATCAGCAGCAGCCATAGGACAACTACCTGCCTTATTAGCATGCATTTTATTTACTAGAAGGTGATTTGGTAATTCTTGTATTGAAATACTTTTGGATCAATAGGAAGACAGACTATTTTTACCCTAAAATCTAAGGCTGTGAGACTAATGTCATTTTCCCCAGAAAGTTTCTTTGCATACACATGACCATCATGGGCTTCCTAGAGAGAGGAGGCAAAACTCCCCTCCAAGGAGGGGAGGCGCTGGGATGGCCAACGTCACACTGGTTGGTTGAACTTAAAATGTGCTAAGACAGAGATTTGGTGGAAAGGGAAAATGATAAAGCAGCACATGCTGTGGAGAACTCAGAGCTTTCTGATTCTGCTTGATTCAGTTTAACAGTGGTCAGCTTCACAGGGCCGTTTGTCTCATCTATCTTGAGAGGTGAGAGGGTGAAGGACTGGCTTCCCTTAGAGGCCAGTATCCTCTCTACTGTTGTTGGTTCTCATGTTTTTCACCAGCGGAAGGGGTTGCCATATAGGAAGCACTTGAAGGTCAGAGACTGGAGACATTATTTTTTTAAATTAATTAATTTATTTTAACTATAGGCTAATTACAATATATAGTGTTTTTTTTGCCATGCATTGACATGAATCAGCTATGGGTGTACATGTGTTCCCCATCCTGAACCCCTCTCCCACCTCCCTCCCCATTTCATCCCTCAGGGTCATCCCAGTGCACCAGCCCCGAACACCCTGTCTCATACATTGAACCTGGACTGGTGATCTATTTCACATATGATAATATACATGTTTCAATGCTATTCTCTCAAATCATCCCACCCTTGCTTTCTCCCACAAAGTCCAAAATTCTGTTCTTTACATTTATGTCTCTTCTGCTGTCTCACACATAGGGTCATCGCTACCATCTTTCTAAATTCCATATATGTGCATTAGTATACTGTATTGGTGCTTTTCTTTCTGACTTACTTCACACTGTATTATAGACTCCAGTTTCATCCACCTCATTAGAACTGATTCAAATGTATTCTTTTTAATGACTGAGTAATATTCCACTGTGTGTATGTACCACAGCTTTCTTATCCATTCATCTGCCGATGGACAACTAGGTTGCTTCCATGTCCTAGCTATTGTCAACAGTGTCGTGATGAACATTGGGGTACACGTGTCTCTTTTAATTCTGGTTTCCTCAGTGTGTATGCCCAGCAGTGGGATTGCTAGGTCATATGGCAGTTCTATTTCCAGTTTTTTAAGGAATCTCCACACTGTTCTCCATAGTGGCTGTACTAGCTTGCATTCCCACCAACACTGTAAGAGTGGTCCCTTTTCTTTGCACCGTCTCCAACATTTTTTGTTTGTAGACTTTTTGATAGCAGCCATTCTGACCAGCATGAGATGGTACCTCATTGTGGTTTTGATTTGCATTTCTCTGATGATGAGTGATGTTGACCATCTTTTCATGTGTTTGTTAGCCATCTGCATGTCTTCTTCTTCTTTTTTTTTTTTGTATGTCTTCTTTAGAGAAATGTCTGTTCTGTTCTTTGGCCCATTTTTTGATTGGGTTGTTTATTTTTGTGGTATTGAGCTTCATGTGCTGCTTGTATATTTTTGAGATTAATTCTTTGTCAGTTGCTTCATTTGCTATTATTTTATCCCTTTCTGAAGGCTGTCTTTTCACCTTACTTACAGTTTCCTTTGTTGTGCAAAAGCTTTAAGTTTAATTAGGTTCCATTTGTTTATTTTTGCTTTTATTTCCATTACTTTGGGAGGTGGGTCATAGAGGATCCTGCTGTGATTTATGTCAGAGAGTGTTTTGCCTATGTTTTCCTTTAGGAGTTTTATAGTTTCTGGTTTTACATTTAGATCTTTAATCCATTTTGAGTTTATTTTTGTGTATGGTGTTATAAAGTGTTCTAGTTTCATTCTTTTACAAGTGGTTGACCAGTTTTCCCAGCACCACTTGTTAAAGAGATTTTAATTTCTCCTTTGTATATTCTTGCCTCCCTTGTCAAACATAAGGTGTCCATAGGTGTGTGGATTTATCTCTGGGCTTTCTATTTTGTTCCATTGATCTATATTTCTGTCTTTGTGCCAATACCATACTGTCTTGATAACTGTAGCTTTGTAGTATATTCTGATGTCAGGCAGGTTGATTCCTCCAGTTCCATTCTTCTTTCTCAAGATTGCTTTGGCTATTTGAGGTTTTTTGTATTTCCATACAAATTGTGAAATTATTTGTTCTAGGTCTCTCAAAAATGCCATTGGTAGCTTGATAGGAATTGCATTGAATCTATAGATTGCTTTCGGTAGTATACTCATTTTCAGTAGATTGATTCTGCCAATCCATGAACAAGGTATATTTCCCTGGAGACATTCTTGATCGTCATGACCTCATGACCAGGAGAAAGAGGTGCCAGAAGTGGGCAGGCTCAGCATTCTGCAGGACCATAATATGCCAGCACCCACCGTTGTCCAGCCACAGCGTTTGTGGTGCTGAGGCTGAAGCACAGCCGTGTGCTCTCCTCACTCTCCCTCTTACACATCGGCCTGTCTGGGGGGTGGGGCAGGGGGCCAGTAGAGTGTTGCAGTTAAAACTCAGAAATGTCAGTGTTCAGATCTCCAGGGGCACCACTTATTTTCATTTTGATCTGACTACTGATAAAAGGTGAAAAGAAGAACACGTTGCATGAGAGTTGTGAGTTGTTTTGTTTGGGGCAAAATAAGGACTCAAACCCAAGAGACAGTGTCTGAGAAGGTCTAAGGAACTGCTCCAAAGGTGGGGGAAGGTCAGCATAGATGTGACTTTGTTGATGGGATACATGGGTTAGCCAGGGGACTCCAGGCAAAGAAGGCCCTGTGACTTCTGGTTCCCCAGGAAACAGTGCTGGGCTCTGGGACCAAGAGATCCACACAGATCAGGTCACAAAAGGTGAGTTCATCTGGGGACCGGAAGCCACACCATGAAGGTAAGGATGCAGGTGGAGGCTGGCTGCCCTGGTTGAGTCCTGTTTTTACTGTTTACCAATGGTGATGTGTCTCCAGTAAGTCACATGGGTTTTGTGTCCTCTCCTGTGTGGTTTGCGAAAGGTGCTGGTGAGTGTAACTACCCCAAAGGGTTGTGGTGAGGGTCTGGGGGCTGCATATATAAAACACCAGCTCAGGGCTGCCACGGTGAGATTTCTGTGATTTCATCCTTTTCTCTGCACCTCCTCTTCTGGGGCAGCCTTGTCCATCTTAGTGGTGACAGGTCTAGGGGTCTGAGCTCCTGGTCCCCTTGTATTGTGTGTCTTCCCATCTCCACAGTCTGTGGGGAGTGGGGGTCCTCTCCCCACTCCTCCTCTGGTCTGGGGGTCAGGGTGGAGTATAAGGCTTGAATCCCCTCTCAGCCTTGAGCTGTTTAATTTGGACCAGGGGCTGTGGACAGGGCGTCAGGGAAAGAGACAAACCCAAGCCTGGGAGACCATAGCTGGCACACATCCTGGGTGAATTACAGATCAGGGAGTCACTGTTTGTCTATAGATTTTTCTGTCTGCTCTCTGTAGGAGAGAGAACCAAAAAGGCACAGAAAGTCTCCTGCTCTTGTTTTCCGCATTTAAAAAAAAAGTGACTTTTATTCACTCTGAGATCTTTGTGTTGTGATGGGATTAGCCTCTGAGCTCTGAGGGCTTAGCCCAGCTTGAGGACATCCCCACACAGCGGGGTGTGCGAGGCAACCATCCCCCATGTGGACCAGAAGGATGGCAGACGCAGGTCCGGGAGTGGAAGGCTGCAGGGGGCCCAAGGGTGTAGGGCACCCGGCAGGAGAGCAGACGTAATGCCACTGTCCTCAGAATCTGTCCGAAGAAGGAGACGCTCTCTCTGATGAATAGCAATTAGCAGAAGCCACGTGTGGACCAAAGAGGCGTGTGATTGCCATCCTCAGATTTCAGCTTCAAACCCTCAGTGTGAGGTGTGATGTTTCCAATGATCACTCTAGCCCGTTATTAATGAAAACATGGAGGACTCTGCCAGCAAAGACATCCTAATTTCTCCCCTAGTTGAGATGGGAGGCAAAGAGGGTTGAGATCACATTCCCTTTGCCTGTGATGGTTTGGAATGAGACATAAAAGTGATGCACAGCCTTTGAAGAGCTAAGATGACAGGCGACAGCTTCCCAAGGCCGCAGTGCTGAGGGCCTGGGAAATGTGAGCAAGGGCGTGGGGTCCAGCATCTGACCCACATGGGCCCGTTTAATACAAAGATGCTCTGGGGGAGGGCGCTTTCTAGGATGAATGCCATTTCCCAGGACTTGGAATACAAGCTGAGTGCGTTCCTACAAAGCCAAGATATCCTCTACATCCAAGTTAACCATTTCCAGAGGCACAGAGTTCTCATTCCTCGTCTGCGGAATCGAATTCCACCAGAATCAAAGAAAGGTCGTCTGTTTTCATGGCCTGGGTTCTGTCTCCTGACCCTGCTCCCCACTCCCTAATTATCACTCAGACTTTCCCCTTCATGCTCAGCACAGAAATCCGTGTCTTATTTCATTAATAAAGCAAACCCATCATGCCAGAGGCATCTCAGCCTCTTTCCAGAACACCGCCAAGAGTCTCTGCGTCTCCCCTGCTTTCCCCGTGCTGGGGCCGTGACCGCTCTCTGCAGCCTCAGGGACCCAGTCTCCTCTCCTCTGTCAGCTCCTGGCTCACACCTGAGTGCTTCATGAGTTTAAACAAAGTCCCTTTAGCTTTCTCACCTCCTCGGCTCTCATTCTTTTCACCTTTGTCTTCAAACGAAAACTATTGTGTTTAACCCGCGTCATTTGCTCTCTCGCTCCCTTCTCTTTCTGAGTCCCCCCAGTCTGTGTCATCTTCACGGCACCCTCGGGGAGTCCCGTTGTCTCACTACTTCAGGTGGGCCTGGGCACGGGTCGTGTGTGGTGGACGGAGCCCTCACCCCGGGACATCCCTCAGGCCCCTCTCCCGAGGCTCTGGTCGCGGCCTGCGAGCACTGGCTGCACGCTCATCTCCAGGTCCCTCCCCATCTTGCGGCCCGCGTCCCCAGCGGTGGTCCCTGTCTCCTCTCGCCCGCACGTTCTCACCCAGTCTTCTTGCTCCTGGTTCCAACCTGGGGTCCACGTCTCTGCCTTTACTCCTCTCTCCCGAGTCCCTTACTCCACCTGCCTTTGCGACGTGACACCCCCTCCAGAGAACTCCCCGACTGCCGAAAGTGAGCCTGTGCCCTGCTCATCCTGCCATCGCTCGCGCCCCGGGCCTTTGGGGGAGGTGCCCCGTGCACCCAGCACCAAGCACCCTCGGAGCTGACTCCCTGCCAACTGCCTGCGTGCTGTGCTCACCTGGCTTCACTTCCCCGCATTTCCCCACCCTGGAAACATGCATCCTCTTCCCTACATCTAAAACGCAATTCTGTCTTACTTTTGCCTGGCTAACTTTTAATAAGTGTTCAGGTCTCAACTTAGAAAGTTACCCATAGACCAAACCTTCTCTGACTTTGAAGGTGAATTTGAGAACAAGGTGATGCAATTGCAGTGTCCTTCCACGTTCTCATCTGTAGCACTTGGACTTACAGGCTGCAAATTCATGTTTATAATTATTCGTCTATAGCTATCTTGTCCCTACATTGTAAGTTTTACGAGGTTGCAGTTTCTGTCTTTTGTCACCAGCTTTGTCATGATACCTATGGCATTGGGAATACTGTGGGTTCCATCTCTGTATGTGTTTATTAGCAAATTTTCATACAGGTGTGTTTATTTTTTGGTTTTATTTGAATATGTAGTTGTAGTATTCATAAAGGGGAAGCTCCAGCATTATTAATTGGGGGTGTTTTTTCTGGGGCAGATATGGTGAAGAAATGGGGTTATTTCAGCACATTTAAGAGCAGTTCAGATGACTGAGGAGGTTGAGTAAGGAAGGTTGAGTGACAGGGGCTGAAAGTCTGAGAAAAGCAGAAGGATCAAGGATCAAGGACTCCATAAATAATGAGGATCAGAGAAGATTACAGGAAACCAAAGTTATTGTTAAGAATAAGCATTGGAGCTTAGCATTTGTGTGTTTCTGCTGCAGGGATGACCTGGGTCTGGCAATGGGACTAGCACAGCCAAATGGAGATGAGGGTCATTAAATGGACGTGATCTCACACGACCACTGAGACGTTTCAGGTCTTTACAGGATTTGGTACCGAAGCAGGTTTCAGTCTCCAGTGAACCAGGGGCACTGGCTAGGAGGCAGGGGGAGACAGGATGGATGTAGTTAGAAGATGCTCCAGATGAATCAGTGAGTCTGAGGCAGGGGCAGAGTGGAAGTGGGATCAGGAGAACACCAGTTGACTGCCTCTCCCACCTCCCTCTCTGACCTTGGGGACTGAAAGGGCTGCGACGGTGAGAAGCTTCCATGTCCAAGAGTGCAGGGAAGGGCCAGGTTTCAGCCAAGGCAAGAAATGGAGAGAATTTTCTGCACAAATTAGAGGATAAATTGGAGTTTGTTTACAATGTACGGATGATTCCAGGAGGTATCGGTGAGCTGTGTATATATGTGTGTGTGTTGATATTGAGAAGAACCAGGAATGAGAAAGTGCAGATCTTCAGGAGGATAAGAGGCTGAGGGGTTATTTAATGGGGGTTTCCCAATATTCATAGACACAGAGGCAGGGGCTTGAAGTCTGGTGAGATGCAAGGAGCTCTACATCCAGAACTCCAGCCGAGGGGCTGTGTGTGTCCCCGTGATGGAGTGCCGGCAGGTGTGACTGCGGGCAGCCGCAGGGCTTCTCCCCGGGCTAACAAAGGGCTGCAGTCCGGACGCTGTGGGGACGGCAGCAAGGGCTCTGGGCGGGGGCGTGGGGAGCCCGGGGAGGAGGTGCGGGCCCATGCCGTCTGCACGCGTTGGAGGTGGGCGCACGTCTGCTGGGGAGCACAAAGGAACGAGTCCTGCAGGCGCCCCGGGGCCCCCGGCTGACCGAGCGGAGGAGCTGCACAAGCGTTCTTTCTGCTCCGGTCGCACCTGAGGCCCGTGCTGTTCTCCCCGGGTTCCACTCTTGCTGTTTCTTCCGAGTGCATCCTCCGCATGGCACGTGGGCTACCTCCTGTGGAATCAGAGAGAGAATGAGAGTGATGAGATTCTCGCACTCATTAATTAAACTTACAGAGCAGAAGGGAAGAGAGACAGCAAGCAATTAGTTATCCACACTGTGCTTTAATTAGAGCTGGTCTTCGAGCACTTCCGAATGGAACCCCATCTTGTCAGCTCACTAGGCTCTTAGATTGTCTTCTCTGTAAGGTCCTCTGATGAAAGAGAATCGATGCTTTGGTCTAAACTTTGAACTTTTCCGTAGCAAGCATTTGGGAGCTACGAATGTTTATTTATGAACTAAACTATCTTTCCTGTTCATCATTTTTTCTCATCATCATTAGAATTAGACTACAAATGTCCAACTGGACACTTATTAATTTAACTCTAATCAAATCATGCTGGGTGAAAATAAATGTTTAACAAATTATTCTGGATTTATTTAGAATATTTTGAAACATTTTGTGGAGATAACTGAAAGTAAAGGACAGCATGACCAGAGCTCTTAGACAAAGAAATCTTTTTTTTTCTGTCCTTGATGCCTAGAATATATGGTAGGCAAAGAATATCTCTGTGCAAATATGGAAACCAGCATTTTAAACCATCTTTTTGACAATTATAGTGAAATATACACAGATGTTTATGTGAGGACAAATTTATCAATTGTTATGGTTTTGGCAATAAGACAAATAGATTATAAGCATATAACATTCACCACTTCTGCTTACATTAATGTAACTTGGGATACCTATTAATAGTCAAATCAACCTTGTGAATTTAATACCTAAATTTAATACCTATTATACAATTTAATACCTAAAGAAAGACAGTTTTCTTATGTCTAGCTCTATTATTATCTGTCTCTTACTCCCTTGAAAAGCTTGTTGAAAGGATGAGCTTCTTTATACATTTTTATCATTTTCCTGTAGCATGTATTACATGATCAATTGGAATAAATATTGATTGACTACATAAAAGAATGCTTCCCAGTTGGTTCTAGTGGTAAAAAAAAATCTGCCTGCCAATACAGGAGATGTAAGAGATGTGGGTTTGATCTCTACGTCTGGAAGATTCCTTGGAGAAGGAAATGGCAACTGACTGCAGTGTTCTTGCCTGGAGAATCCCGTGGACAGAGGAGCCCGGCGGGCTATAGTCCATGGTCCCAGAGTCTGACACGACTGAAGCAACTTAGCACACATGCATATAAATGAATAAATGAATTATTTTCTATATAAAGTTAACTTCATTCAGGGGTGTTTTAAAAAATCTATGTGAAGTTAAATTTCTTCCCTTGACCTTCTGAAGTGCAAGATGTACTTTTAAATGTCATATATCAGAAAGGATGTTGAAAAGACCACATATTCTTGTCAAATCTAGACAAGGCTAGATGATCATTTCTCCAAAACTGTCAGCATTAGCATTTTGCAATTTCAGGATGAAGATCCTGTATCTGTTTTGTGAAGTATTCACAAAGGATTTCCTTTTTTTGACTGAATATAAAAGGCATTGTGCTTTTAATGTCATTTCCTTCGTGTTCTTCCCTGATGGGTCAGATGGTAAAGAATCTGCCTGCAATGTAGGAGCCCCAGGTTCGATCCCTGATTTGAGGAGATCCCCTGGAGGAGGGGATGGCTACCCACTCCAGTATTCTTGACTGGAGAATTCCATGGACATAGGAGTCTGGTGGGCTACAGTCCACGAGGTCGCTGAGTTGGACACGGCTGAAGCGACGGAGCACACAGGGGTATATTGTCTTTTCACAGTAGTGCTCTCTCTTTAGATAAATGCCCAGGAGTGGAACTGCTGGGTCATCTGGTAGCACTAGCTTAGTTTCTTTGAGGAATCTCCATACTGTTTCCCATTTGCATTCTTACCGAGGTACACAGGCTTCTCCTTTCCCCACATCCTCACCAGCTGACGCTTGTCAGTGTTCCAAGGGAAGAATCCCCTTCTGTACGTGGTTTCAGGCTGACTGAATGCCAGGCCCTGAGGTCAGCAGCTTTTAAAGTGGGTTGCTGCTGTTGCTGCCATTTAGTCACTAAGTCAGTGTCTGGCTCTGCGACCCCACGTACTGTAGCCTGCTACGCTCCTCTGTCCATGGAATTTTCCAGGCAAGAACACTGGAGTGGGTAGCCGTTTCCTCCTCCCGGGGATCTTCCTGAACCAAGGATCAAACCTGAGTCTCCCGCTTGGCGGGTGGATTCTTTACCTCTGAGCCACCAGGGAGACCCCTTTTAAGCAGGCAGATGGATACAGTTTCATGGGGCTGCAGTCTTTCTCCCTGATGGCCTCCAGTCCTGGGGATCTGGAGGTATCCCCTCCAGACAGTTGCAGAGATGGAGTTTTCGATAGGTCCTGTTGGTTGTTTGTGTCTTTTACACGTTGTTGAACTTTTGTGCAGTAATTTCCATCAATTACTGAGAGGTGACAGGTGTGGAGGTCCCCAAGTGCAATTGTGGATTTGTTTATTTCTCTTTTAGTCCTACCAGGTTTACTCCTCACGTATTTCAAAGCTCTATTATCTGTTGTATTTCCATTGTATTGCACATTTCTTCCTGGTGATCCCTTTATCATTATCTCAGAGACAAAGTCTTTCAGTTTTCCTTTTGCTGAGAATATCTTCATGTGGTTTCACTTGATGGGACATTCACAGCTGAGATAGGGTTGTGTCTCTTCCTTCTGGTCTTGGTGCTTGAAATGGGGAGTCTGCTGCCCTTTGAAGTGGTGTTTTCCCATCAGTCAATATGCCTTTAATATGCACCTTGTTCAAGGTACTCTTCCTTAACTTCTCAGAATTTTGACTGTCAACCACATGTGTCCTGGCATGGATCTATTTAGGCTTATCAGGCTGGGGTTTGGTCAGTTTCTTGAATCTGTAGGTTTGTATTTTTTGCTGAATTTGGGAACTTTATAGCCATTTTTTTCTTCAAATATGCTTTCAGTCCCACTTGCTTTTCTTCCTTTTATTAAATATCGATGATACAAATTTTGGATGTTTACATGTTGGCTAACAGAATCAGACCTATTTACCCTTCCTCCATGATTCAGAATGAACTTTTCTCTAAGCATTTATGTGGTGGCCATGTCCTACTTACAAAATTCAGGGACAATTTGAATCTTGAGTAAAGGTCCCATCCAGGCTTTCTGGGGTCTCTTATCAACAGGCCTTCTTGGGTTACTTGCCCTACATCTTCAGATTTAGTTAATTAAGGACTAAATTTTGTTTAGCAAGAAGTTGAAAATCAACTATTTTTTCCTCTTAGCAAATAGACTTATCTGATTTGGAGGCCATGCTTTTTCTAGCCAAGTGAAGTTCTGTTTTCTTTCTCTATAGGTCGTTTGGTGTTAAAAATGAGGGTTATTTAAGGCTCTTAAAAATATTTTTAACATTGCCATCTGCATCTATTACTTTGTTTAGTACCAGTAATTGTCCATTTTGAAGAGCTTTTGCTCAGTCTTGATTAACTAAGACCCTCTCTTTAGAGATAGTAAATCTCTATAGAGATAGCCTGCAGATTTATCCATCTGAACACTCACAGGGTGGTTGGTTAGGCATGGCATTTTGATTTTCCAAAAGGGACACATAGTTTTGATTCACTGAAACTCTTCTGTCATTTACTGTAGTGTGCATCACTCATTTTAAAAATGATTATCCATCATTGGGGATTTAGTATGTGTCTACTGGGAAAGGGAAAAACTATTTGGTCTATGGTTAGAATTAACTTGACTCAGTAGGTTTCATAAAATTCCATAATGACACAGAAAATTCTGTAAAACACCATGATGTTTGGTGCTGTTTAATTTTTGCCCTCTTGAGTAAGTATTCATTTTATGAATATATTAAACTTAAATACTTTCTGTCTTTTGAGCCATATTTTAATGCTTCTTGCTTTATTACTGCTTATTATAAAATTTCTATAATCACTATAAATTTTATACCTTTTAAAAATTTGTTTGAAGATTATTATGCAAACAATAAAGCCCTGGAAGAACTAATGTATTCCTGTCCCCTTAAGAATATTTAATACTCATCCTGTTATTGCTTCTAAGACAGGGCACTATTTTCCTCTTTGGTAAAGGCACCGAGTCCGTAATCCTTGGTGCAGAAACAGAAGAGGCTTTCTGCCAGCATTACGTGTGACCTTGGAGTCCAAAACCAGACTCCTAGGAGAAAACACCCCCAGAATAGTCATGGTCACCAGTTCAAAAACCTACTCCTCAAGTCACCACCTGTCTTTGAAAAAACCAAATTCTAGGTCAGGCCATCAGGAATTGGCAGAGAGAGGTAGTATAAGAAAATGTGAAACTCATAGCTTATCAGGGTTTAATTACTCCTATCCAAGCAAAATCTTATTTCCTAAAAGGTTCTAGTTTATTAGATTTAGCTCTTCTGAGAAAAAATAATTAATCTAAGAAGTAATTGCACTTACAGACCAATTGACTTAGGCTGTCTCCAACTAAAATGAATCAAAATGAACAGTGAGCTCAGAGGTGGCAGAAAGATGGGCTGGTGATTTAGGTTTCATTGGGTCTTCGTGGAATTCTGTAATACCCAGAAATCCTATAAATCACCTAAACAGTATTTATGACCAGAAAAGCCTTTAAATCTTTTCATTTGCACTTGCACTAACTGGACAGTTCATTTCTGTAGCTGTATACAGTGGACACAGGACCATAATGCTTTTCCATTTGTGCTAGAATCAACTGTGCCAACTGCACCAGAAGCTGTGTCTCTTTGAAACAAAAAGCCACTTTCCCCCGCTCATGGGCATTCTATGTTTAAAAATTTCCTTCTCTATGCTGGTTGAATTCTGGCGTTGGTTCAACTTCATCCAATTATTTGGTGAAAATCCAAAACTCTGTAAAGGTTAATCCATAAATCTAGCCATCCACATTGCCAAAGCAAAGATAATGTTTGCCTAATAATTCAGGGACTATAAGACAATTTTAAATGCCAGCCCAGTAGATCTTATTTTAAAAATATCCAGGGGCTTTTGTTGAGTTATTGAGCTTTGTTATAGAGGCTGCCATAAAATGGGATTCATATATAATGTATAACTTATATGATGAATGAATTAGCATTGCTTAGCATTTATTGGTTCTTTTAATATAATGAAATAGTGTAGTTCTGCTATAATATTTCTCTTTGCTGCATGACACTGGTGCCCAGATTGCAGAGAAAGCCTGGAAGAGTGAGAGGCAAAGGGGAACTAAACTAGTACAGTGGATGGTTCACAGAGTCTGATAGAAGCTAAACTTGTTATGCTGAAAGCAGTGCTGCTAAGTCACATCAGTCGTGTCTACTCTGTGTGACCCCATAGATGGCAGCCCACCAGGCTCCCATCCCTGGGATTCTCCAGGCAAGAATACTGGAGTGGGTTGCCATTTGAGCATGACGTTTTTGCTTATTCTCACATTCCATCTTGTCTCCTCCATGGAGTCCTGATCTAGGTGGGAAGTATTGAAATGCAAGATAAAATTCCCAAGACAGAACCTAAAACGCACTTTAAAGATTTTGTCTTCTTTTTCTTATTGTTAACCCTACATTTAAAAATTTTGAGACTCTAATAGGCTTTATTTTTCAGAGTTTTGGATTTATAGAAAAACTGCAGAAATTTCTGAGGTCCCATGTATATCCTCCCCCATCTTACCTTTATGTGATCAGAAAGATCCCCTGGAGGAGGGCATGGCAACCCACCACAGTGTTCTTGCCTGGAGAATCCCATGGATAAAGGAGCCTGGAAGGCTACAGTCCATGGGGTCACAAAGAGTTGGACACAACCGAGCCACTAACACACACACCTTGGTGTGATTGTTTATAATTGATGACCAATATTGACATATTATTATTGACTAAAGTCCACAGTGCACATTAGGGTTCACTCTTGGTATGAAACGTTCCATGGGTTTTGGCATGTATCTACCCTCACCGTCATCCAGGATAGCTTCATCCGTCTCTACAGTTTTGCCTTTTCTAGGATGCTACGTGGCAAAAGTTGGAGCCATAGAGTGTTTAGCCTTTTCTGATGGACATCTTCCTCTTAGTAACATGCATCTAAATTTACTCCATGTCTTTTTGTGGTTTGATAAAAAAATAATTCCTGCACAATATTTCACTGTCTGGATTTACCAGTTTATGTATCCATTCATTCACCTACTGAAGAACATCTCGGCTGCCTTTGATTTGTGGCAGTTATGAATAATGCTGTTCTTCTTGAATAACTAAAACTTTATATCCACTTGAACAAGTCCTCATTTCCCCCTCTCACTCGGCCCTTGCAACCACCATCTTCTGCTTATATGAATTGGCTGTTTTATACACCTCATGCAAGTGGAAGTATGCGGGCTAAGTCATTTCAGTCGTGTCTGACTCTTTGTGATCTCATGGAAAGTAGCCCACCAGGCCCCATTGTCCAAGGGATTCTCCAGGCACTGAAATGGGCTGCCATTTCCTTCTCCAGGGGATCTTCTGGACCCAGAGATAGATCCTGCAATTTCCCGAATTGCAGGCGGATTCTTATCTGAGCCACCAGGGAATCATGCAGGATTTGAATGTACCTGGGGGATGTTATACTAAGAACTTGTCATTGGCATAACTTCACATACATAACTCAAGTACAGATGCTAAGACAGCATCCCAATGTTTTCTATAATTGCTTTTTCTGGGTGAAGGAACCAGCTTATGCCAGTGATGTTGCTCATACACAAATACCACTATTTAAAAAATCACCTGTGAGTGCAGTTTTCAAAGGGTCTTATTTTTCCTATAAAAGATTAATGAAATCAAGCTATTCCTGGCTGTTTCGCAGGACTCTGGGGCAGACTGCAGGTGCCAGGACTCAGTGTGTAGCAGGAAAGGAAATATTCTCTGGGGGCACTGAGTGGCCTCTTTAGAACACACCCTAAATCTATACAAAGAGAATCACAGGGACTGACAATTAGGGAGCTGGAGTATGCAGCTGAAAGTGTGTAGCTGGAGTATGCAGGGAAAGCTTTTAGTCTGGCTTCCAAAAGGGCTCCTGGGGTAGTGGTCATTAACTTCTTTAATGCACCTTTCTTTGGGTTCTGATTCGGTTAACAAACAAGAAGAGCAAATGCATTTCTCAGTGACAGACAGAATTTAATCAAGCTGGCAATATTGATACACAGAACCAAAATTTCATCGTATTTGTTTGCAAGGAGCTCACATGATTACCAGTCACACGATACCTTTCAGTACCATCCGTCTCAATGGAAAAGCACTTATAATCAGAGAGCAGCTCAGCTTCTCAGAGTGAAAATGCACCGTCACGCAACCCAGGGGCTCAGAGCCCATGGGCTGTGCCTCCTTTGGCTGCAGGAAAACCCTTTCGAGCCTCAGAGACTATTCAGAAAGCTTCTTGAGAAGCTCAGAAACAAGAGCAAAAGGAGATTTGAGAATGAACGTCTAACAGGTTCACACCAATTTAGCTCTCCTGTCCTCTTCTCCGAGCCCCCCGGCCCCATAAAAGGTCAGCTACATGAGGAAGTGTCCCCATGGTTACTGCGGGAAGACAGACACGCAACAAAGCGCATTTCATGCCCAGAAATCCAGCTGCGCTTGCCTCCCCCACGTCCTCGACGGCCAGCAGCCCCTTCCTCCGGGCCCCCAGGAAGCCTGACTCCGTTTCTGCTTCTGGCTCTGCTCTGTGACCTGCCACGCTCACTTCCTCCTGTCTCCAGAGTGTGTTACCCTGTTCCAGCTCTGCCACCCGGTTCTCCTCTACAAAAGGGCACCATCTCCTTGCCTTTGGGTTCAGCTGCCTCAGCCAGGCAAGGATGCATTACAGTCTGCAGGTCCTGCAGGTTCTAGATTCTACACTATTAACACTCTCTGGGGAAGTTCCCTCCATCAAAGGCTTCACCATGTTGTCTGCAGAAACAGCCTTGGCACCCTGAGCTACTCTCATCATTTAGGGAAATTCTTATATCAGCTTGTGCTCAGTCGTGTCCAACTCTTCATGACCCCATGGATTGCAGCCCACCAGGCTCCTCTGTCCATGGAATTTTTTCAGGCAAGAATACTGGAGTAGATTGCCAGGTGATTGTCCCAATCCAGGGATCAAATCTGCCTCTTTGACATCTCCTACATTGGCAGGCAATTCTTTACTAGTGTGCCACCTGGGAAGCCCCCATACTGTACTGGATCTTAGACTACTTATCATCAAAGTTCCCAGGTGCCAAGTTTCTGAGCAGGTCTTTCTAAGAATGGATAGTATCAAGCCTGTTGAATTAAATCTTTTTTTTTTTTTTTTGCAAAGCTATTAAGAATTCTTCTGGCACTACTAGTCTGGCACTTTTAGTCATTTTATTATGGAAATTTTCATATTGGGGGGCCCTATTTGATATCCTATCTAATAAAGTATAAAAACTCTTTTACTATTGACAGTTTACTAAGACAAAAGAAATTTATCACCATGACACTGAGACATTTTGGTGAAGAAACTCCCACTGTAACATGTGATTTTTATAACTTGATCTGAGGGCACTAAGTCTCTTACAAAGAGAACATTCCCATTGAACAATAACCGACTATACTGAAGAGCAAATAAAGCATCCATTTCAACATGTTCTTTCACACTGTTCTACTTTGGTCCATGAGCTGTTTTCTTTATGTCAGAAATGTGTACGTATCATTTAAAAATAAAAGTTTAAAAAATAAAATAACAATAAAGTTTAGATTCTGTGGCATCATCATGTTTTCGTAAGATTTCAGTTGAACCAAAGAACTGCATGATGCAGTTGTGCATGTGCATATCAAACTGTGTAATGATACTTAAAACATATTTCATTTCTGCTTCTCACTGAAAAATTATATATCACCAAAAAGTACATAAATGTACAACTCAGTGAAGCTCCAAAAATAGATGAAGCTGTGTAACCAGAGCCGGGATCAGGGGACGGCACATTTCTCACAACGAGACGCCTGCCCTCCACACGGCCCTCTGCGGTCACCCTCCTGCTCACGGCTGACTGCTGTGCCCTCGGCATGGTGCGGGCTTTGCTGGTTTGCTCTTCAGATGGATGGGTTGTCAAGAAGGTGCCCTTTGCTTGGTTTCTTTCATGCAACATAATTTCTGTTGTTGCATTTTACTGATGTTGTTGCATTTTAAATTGCTATGCAGGATCTCACTGCGGGAAAGTCATGGTTTGCTTGCTCACTGCATTGGTGATGGGGATTTAGGCTGGTCTCCTTCCCTTTCTTGTTGTCACTCAGTTGCTAAGTCATGTCCTCTCTTTGTGACCCCATGGTCTGCAACATGCCAGGCTTCTCTGTCCTTCACTATCTCTCAGAATTTTCTCAAACTCATGCCCATTTACTCATGTCCATCTCCTTCCCTTTGGGTTACTGCAAACGCTCACTTGTGGATACCACGTTAATTGCCTCATGGAATCCCCTAAGCTCCCTAGAGAGCTTCCAGGAGTATGCTGGGGTTTCCCTAGATCCCACCAGGCTTTGGGAGAGTGGGGACTAGAGTTGCAGGAACGCCCATGATGCCATCAGCTTTCAGATCATCCGGTCTCCAGAAGCTCCAGCCCCACACCAGCCACACCGGGTTCAGGGCTCAGAGGCAGGACCCCCACAGCTGAGAGCAGCCACTCCTGCTGCCCCATCGCCGCCTCAGTTTCCCGCAGATGTCGATGCTCTGCCTTGGTGTGCTTGCTCCTCCACCAGGCTCTGCAGGTGTGCACCAACGTGCGTGCTAGCTCCTCCACGGCCCCACACCCGAGTGGTAAGTGGGATGCAGTGGATAACTCCAGTTGCCCCTTCTTGTTCTGGACTCAGTTTTAAGTGTCTGAAGCAGTAGTTTCCGCCTCTTGTTACTGTTGTTCTGTCGCTAATTAGTATCTGACTCTTTGCAACCCCATGGACTACAGCACACTAGGCTCTTCTGCCTTCCTGCTTACTAAAATGTGTGTCCATTGAGTCGGTGATGCTATTCAACCATCTCATCCTCTGTCACCTCCTTCTTGTCATGCCCCCAAACTTTCTCAGCATCAGGGTCTTTTCCAATGTTTTGACTCTTTACATCAGGTAGCCCAAGTATTGGAGGTTCAGCTTCAGCATCAGTTCAGAATATTCAGTGTTGATTTCCTTTAAGATGAACTGGTTTGATCTATTTACTATCCAGGGGACTCTCAAGAGTCTTCTCCAGCACCACAATTTGAAAGCATCAATTCTTTGGTGCTCAGCCTTCTTTGTGGCCCAGCTCTCACATCCATACACAACTACTGGATAAACCATAGCTTTGACTGTACAGATGCTGCCCATTATATGTACCCTGAGCATGGCAGAATGTCAGCTGTGGGATAAATAACAAGAAGCAGCGGTTCAGTAAGATTTGTACGAAGTCGTGGTGATTGATAACACAAAGCAAGTGCAGAGTATAAACTTCCCAAAGAGTGAAAAGTCCTGATTCCTCAGTGTTTCCTTTGTTGTCTTTTAGGTTACAGTATGAATCTTTGATTTCACCATCATAAATATATATAATTTTATATTCATGTTCATGCAGGTATTCTAGGACATTTGGTACATGGTATAAACTTTGAAGAAATTCTCAAAAAATGTTCAGTAATACTAATTACTTAAATTTATAACATTTAATCTTCAAATAATAAGGACTATAATACTGAAACAGAAAGTAACCCTGGAAATAAAACCATGATATTTTAGCCCTGTTTGAATTAAGTTTGCAGGAAAGTATCTAGATGGTACATTTTCCCTATTATAATAATTTTAATGGCCTATAATTTTAGCCATTTACATGACTTTTTATTGGGCTTTGATAATGGCTATTATATAACTCATAAAATGTGTTATGTGACTATTTTTTTGGATGCTAAATAACAGTTATGTAACATCAGAATTGTGTTTTCTTAAGAGTATGATTGAATTAATCCATTAATATATTGGGTCCAATCTTTTAATTCTTTGGGTAACATTTTATAACTTTGTATTTTATGACTCCTGATGTTGTGTTTTCTTAAGAGTATGATTGAATTAATCCATTAATATATTGGGTCCAATCTTTTAATTCTTTGGGTAACATTTTATAACTTTGTATTTTATGACTCCTGATGATTCAGTTCTTTCTGATTATTTTTTGACTGTATATTATCTTGTCCAGAGGCTGACAGTGATCCAGGAGAGATGTCATGGCCAGAAGGAATGGTACTGCTTCCGAGTTACCATCCTTGCTTAATCTCTTACTCCCTGTCTTGTTACAGATAGTTAAATACATTTTAAATAACTTCTAAGATGAAATATTATCTATTACATTTTCCTGGGCATTTTCCATTTCTATTGTTCTTCCTGTATTCCCAAAGTCCTAGATTTCCCTTCAGGACTATCTCATCCCTGACTGAAGAATTTCCTTAGCATCTGTTTTAAGAAAGCAGGAACAATGTCTCAACCCAGAATGTCTTCATTTAGCCTGCATCCCTGGACGATGTATTTTCTGGGTGTAGAAATCTGGGTTTACATTCTGCTCATATATACCATCCTGTGACCTCCCATAGGAAATCTGCAGACCTCAGGACTGCTGCTCCTTTATGTGTAAAATGTGGTTCCTCGCTGGCCAGATTCTAGAATTTCTTTTAATCTTTAGTTTTCAGAATTTTGTTTTTGATATGTCTGGTCATGTTTCTCTCTGGGTTTATTTTGCTTTGTTCTGCTTATCTCGAACCTGTAAACTTTATATTTTTCACAAAGATTCTCAGCTGCTATTTCTCCATATACATTTCTCTGTTCCAATCTCTGTCTCCCCTCAGGGATCCCATTCCAGTGACACATTTGATATTGTGTCAGAATTCAGAATGTTTGATATTGTACTACTGTAACCTGAGTCTGTCATTCTTTTCTCATTTTCTTCTTTGTTCTTCAGATTGGATAATTTCTATTCATCTTTTGAATGTTGTCTAGTCAGTCCTTTTTTCTATTGAGGCCATTCTTTGAATTATTTTTCAGCTATTATGTATCTCAGTCCTCGAATTTAATTGCATTCTCTCTTGAATTTCTACTTCTCTATTGAGAACGTCTGTGTTTCTGTTCACTTCAGGTGATGTGGAGGATGGTTATAAGAGTTTCTTTAGATCTTTGATCATTCTGCCATCTGGGTCATCTGAAGGTTGACATTTTTGACTGTCTTTTCCTTTGAAAACTGTTCAGAACTTCACAGCCCTTGGCAAGTCAGGGCATTTTGGGGTTGTAACTTAGACAATTAACATATAGCATTGTGAGGTGTCTGAATGCTGTTGAAAATTCAGAGAATATGGATTTGTGTGTTTTGACCAGTAATCAACCCAGTTAGATTAAGATTGATCCAGATTAAGTTGTGCCTGGCTCTTTAGTATCAGCTTTATTTCTAAGCCATGATATACTGTTGGGGTTTGCCCCACAATCCCCCAGCATCCTGTGGAGTTGCCTGAGACATGGGCAGCTCCCTTGACAGCACTCTCGAAAGGCTCCTCTGGGTTGTGTTCCAGACTCAGGCAGCTTGGGGAACAGTCTAGAATCTTGTTGTTTCCTACGTGGAATTAGGGGTCACACTCTCTGACTTCCAGGGATCCCTCTCCTTGGCCCAATGGCTAGAAATAGTCTCCAAGTTTTCTCCCCTGTCAGTCACACTCTTCTGTGGAACTGGTCCTGCCTGCAGGCTGGACCATGAGGGCAAATGGAGAGAACACGGATTTCACTTCTGCATGATCTTCCCATAACTGGGGATTCTTTCTGTGGCTCCTTTCTCCAGGGACAGTTTCCCTCTGGTCTTGTCCTGTTGCAGGTCTGCAGGCCTGGGGAGGAGAAAAGATTTCTCTCCACACTCTCTGGTGGCTCTGAGAGCCAGTTTTTCTCAATATTCTGTCCAAAAGGACAGTCTTTTCTTGGAGTTTTTGTTGTGAGCCTTTGCAGGGCCATCCCTGTTCAGCCAGCCTGTGCTTGGGTCAAAGCCGGAGATAAAGGGAAGAAAGAAAACCGAACACTGGAGCTGACTGTGGCCATACGATTGTCAAGGTGGCTTTTGTGTTTTGTCCATAGTTTTCATTTGTGATTTCATTTCATGGTGGTGGGAATTGTCTGTGCTGGGCTTACTGTGTCTTGGGTGGAACGAGAAATCTGAATCCTTTATTTAAAAAAATATTATTTGGCCATTGAGGACTATTTCACAAATATTAACCGATGACACATTAAACATTGTTTCTGAATCTCTAGTATCACTCTGATTCTAAGGAAAACACATGAAGTTTAGGATGAGAGGAAATTTTGTTTTCAGTTTTTAGTGACATAATCAGTGCAATAATTTGCCAACAAACAACCAAGGCAACATAATTTTACATTTGGGGTTTTCTCTAAGATTCCAAAGAAAAAAATGATACATAAGTCAGTATAGATCCCCATAACTGGTGCAGGAAAAGGAAGAAACACCTGACGGGAAAGACCCTGTGACTGTCTGGCTACTGTCAGCTCAGATACTGGGCAGGCTCAGTTAACATGTATTATTTGCTCTGTATTTTAGAAAGTATCACAGAAGTAGTACTAAGTATCATAATTCACTTAAAAATATGAAGCATATGTCTAGTGGAAATACATCAACCCAAAGAGGTTTCATAAAATAAAGCAAAATAAAATATTAACTAAAGTAAAATAGAATAAAATGATGGAGAAATAGACCAGTGATTCTAGAACTGGGCTTGAATGTTTTTAATCTAAATCTAGTTCTAAAATAGTTCTGTGTGTGTATACCACATCTTCTTTATCCATTCCTCTGTTGATGGACACTTGGTTGCTTCCATGTCCTGGCTATTGTATATAGTACAACTGACTCACTTTGCTGTACAACAGGAACTAATCCAACATTGTAAATCAACTACAGTCTAATAAAATTTTTTTTAGAATGATGGAGAATTTTCAGACCATTACACATATTATTCCATGTACTATATATACCACATATAGTAGTGCTGAAAGATCTTTTACAAAATAGTGGGTTAAATTAAGTTTAATTCTATGTATTCAAAAAATAAACTGATGAAATGAGTTATTTCCAGACTCTCCTAAAGTTATAAACATAATTAATTAGTTCACTGAAAACAGAAATCTTTTAAAAATGTTTGTTTTAAGATATAAAAAATACTGCTATCTTGAAACTAGGGATAATTAATGGTTGATTAAGTGATACAAAATAGTACATCATATATTCACATAAGTTATAATTTGACATAATGTCAAACTTAGTCCATGAAACTGAAAGTCTTCTTTCTCTTTCAATTATAAAAGCTTCTCATATCAAATTATTTTTAAAAAAACTGTAAAAGCTTGAAAACTACCAGAGCCAACCAAAGTATAGCATCTTCTATAGATTTTTAGGGCTTCCCTGGTGGCTCAGTGGTAAAGAACCTGCCTGTCAATGCAGATGACATGGGTTCCAACCCTGGGTCCAGAAGATGCCCTGGAGGAGGAAGTGGCAGCCCACTCCAGTACTCTTGCCTGGGAAATTCCATGGACAGAGGAGCCTGGTGGGCTACAGTCCATGGGGTCACCAAGAGTTGGACAGGACTTAGTAACTAAATAACAAAAACATAGATTTGTAGCTTACGGTATTAATTAAAGATATCTTGGAAGGGAAATCTGTATTCTCAACAGAAGGGTTTAAATGCGCTCATTGTTTTGAATCTTACTGAAGTGGGTTATTGTAAGGGTATATATTATTCCTCTTAATTTTGAACTGTAATAATAAAATAATTCTGTCATATTTTCCATTGTGAAGTTCCTTGTTTGAACATAAAAAGCATTACTGGAGATTTCCAGGGAAACCAAGGCAACTCAATTAGGTTGTACCTTTTAAATTTTTATGTTGTTAAAGCTGGTGTAATGAAAAGGTCAGTCCAAGCCTTTGAAATGAAAATACTCATTTCAGCTCTTTTGGATTTCACTGAGCCCAGTTTCCAAGGGCGGCCACTTTGTGGACCAGGACAAGGGGAAAAGGCAAAAATCAATGGGAAAAACAGCTTGGATGTCATGCTTCGCCCCTAGCTGAGCAGCCTTTTCCCTGTTTGCACCCCACAGGCTTTCATCAGATTTGCTAAATCTGACACCACACGGCTGCTTCACCCTTGTCTTCACTCCAGCCAGGACCAGTTCAGGCTCGAGGTGCCACATAGCAGCCTGTCACCTCAGCCGTGCCCCGTGTGCTGGCTCTCAGACCGGGAGCCTCTGTGGCACCGTCTGCCATGGCCCTGACCCCTTACCACTCCCGGGTGGAGGCACAGCCCCGGAAGTGCTTGGGAGTCAGTTCCGGGGCAGCCCTGGACCTGGAGACCGGAAGCCGCAGAGACCTGCCTGAGTGAGTAGCCCGACCAGGGGCTCGGTAGAGGGCCGTGCGTGGCGGGACCTTGCTCCCTGCAGAGGCCATTGTCTCCTTCTTCACCGCTTCGGCCATTCTCAGACCTCACTCCTTCCATTCTTCTCACACACTGTTCCTCAGCCTAGAACCCGGTACCCTCCTCTTCTCCAGGGACCGGCCCCCGCCCCCTCCCTCCCCTCCCAGAGGCAGGCCTCAGAGGAAAGATGATTCCTGCAGGGGACGTTTTCCTGGTGTTTTCTAAGCAGCACCCCTCTGTCTCGTGGTCCTGTCACAGACAGGTCTTGTACTTTTCCTTTGGAGAATTGATCGCTGTCCATGGAAGGCACATGGGAGGGAGTCTGTCCTCGCTCTTGCTCTGTCCGTCCTGTCACAAAGCAGACAATCGCTAGTTATCTGACAAATGGATAAACAACCCTTTAATCTGGGCGGTTCCCTCCGGCCCGCTGCGTCCGCAGCAGAACCACCCCCTCGGTCGCGGCCGGAGCGGTGGGCTCAGGAGGCAGGTCTGTCCACGGGCTCCCCTCGATTGAACTCCTTGGGCGTCTCTGCTGCCCTCCTCCCCAGGAGGGCACCCCCGTGTGACCAGAACACCGTGTGGACCTTCTCCTCACATGTCCGCGCTGCACTTCACTCCGTGCCAGTTTCCAGGTGATTTCTGGTCCTTTGGTTCTCACGTGCTGATGCCGTGCCCCAGCCCTGGGGTTGGCTGGTGCCAGATGCTTTTTGAAATTGTGCCATGTGCTGTATCACAGCACAGCTGTATCACCATCCACATTTTCTTGAGAAAACCTCTGGGAATAGGCAAGTTCAGAACCTTGAGGAAGGTCATGTTGCTGGTTAGCGGCTGACCTGAGATTTGAAATGGGCATCTGGCCACAGGGTGGATGGAGACCAACAGAGGAAGCACCCACCACTTTCATTCCACAGGATGCTCTCCTTTAACCAGGGGGATAGATGAGGATGAGTAAGTAATAAGAAGATGATCATGACAAGAGCATAAACAGAAAAACTTAAATTCCAAACAACAGCAGTTGAGGAGATTATTTTTTGATTTTTCTCTTTTACCAGGAGATGAAGTTTATATCTCGGAAAACACTTATTGACAGAAGAATTATCCTGGGACTGTCAATTATGTCATGATAAGTTCCCAAAGATAAGGTTGCTTATAATTTTGGTTTCCTGAGCATAGAGGTCAGATCTGACAGCCTAATAAGGTCTGGTCCTGGTTTGTGACTTTGCTAGACAAAGCCAGATTTGGTCATTCTTTTCCCGTTCTAAAAGCTAACAGCTAGATTACAGAGTCCTAGTTTTCAGAGTGTATTCTCTAGATGTAGGTTAGGATGGAAAAACCTGTCAGTGTGGCAGGGATGATATAAGGGCACTAAATGGAAAGGTGCAAGTGGGCTCCTTCTGTGTTGTTAATAACTACACTTGTGAGAGATCTTCCTCTACTGCTTTAAATTAAAAGAGAGATGCTAGCAGTAGTTACCATGGTAACCAAAAGTCAACTGTATCCCAAACTTCCTCCTGACTTCCTTTGTAAAAAAATGGTTCTGGATGAGTTTTTTTCCATTCAACTTAACTTTCAAGAAAAGGTTAAGATTTAAAGGGTCCTGAATTTTCTTTGGGTGGGTAAAAGGCTCTGGAGTCCAGGAAGAAGTGGCCGATGTTTCTGACTGGTGTGGGTTTTTATTACTGGGGACGCTGGCCCATTGGCATGGAGGGGGAACCGTTGGTCCAAAAGACAGCCAAGCTGACACGTAGCTGGAAATCAGGATTGCAACTCAAAAACCCCATCGTTAGATACTAACTGCAAGGGCACAGACACCGAATTGCTGGTTGAGAAGAAAATTAGAGAAATGATCCTCCTCCTTCTTCTAAAGGGTTTGAGTCCAGAGTGTCTGATTCCAAGACCGTTGTATCTTCTTTGAGATCATGACAGCTCCTTCAGGACGTTACAGTTCAGGCCCCCCGAAGCCTATCCTGCAAGCTGAAGTGTCACCAACCAGTGTCCCAGAAACATTTAAAAATTCATAACGCCATTTTAAAATTTCCTTCCTTCACTCCTCTCTCCTTCCCTTCTTTCCTTCATCCTTCCTTCCCTCCCTCCCAGGGAGGGCTGTGTTTCTGACTGCTTGCTGATCCTTCAGTCCTCAGCTGGCTTCACTATTGCTGTGAAATCACAGTTCCTATGATTCCATAAACCTATTTCTTTATTTGCTATTTTTCCCCTTGACATTTAGGGAAGACCAGTGAGAACCTTGAGTGCTTCTGGCTGGGTTTTTGGGTCTCTGGGGAAGGCCCTGGCTTGCTGTGCTTTCCTCTGGGATTCAAGTTTTATTCAGCCTCTGCAGATGGCTCAGAAGCAGACTGGACATGCACGGCTCAGCCTGGGAAGGAAGGACCAAGACAGGGTTGGTGGTGACAGAGAAAAAGGGGGTTTTTGAAGTCGTCTGCTTCCAGTTTCTCAGGGGAGTGCCATAGTTTCCTCATGCATCTCCCTTGGGTCAGGAAGGCTGACTACGTGCAAGGGGACAAGGATGGGTGTCAGCTTTCCCTCCAGTCTGTTCTGGCCGCCAGCCTGGCCCAGAAACCAGGGGGTGTGCGCTCAGAGAGCCCCTGCGTGTCATGATCACCAGTCACCTTGTCTGACAGGTGTTCTGGGCCTAGTTTGCAGCTTTTAAAGCTTTGGTATTACAGAGAGTGTCCCTCAATTTTAATTAAAGCATAAGTCACTTTATTGAACCCCTGGCATCAGCTCCAGGTCTTTCATTTTGATTTAGTTAGATTTCTGCTTCCTGGTAAAGACTAACATTGTGAATTTGCCTAAGGACACAGAAGAGGGCATCAGGGCAGAATAGGACCAGGATCTGAATTAATTCTGAAATGTGTTGTCTTCTAAACTGTTCTTAATTTATATGGAAGGGTCTCATACTTTCAGGTGTGTTTTGTATATAGTAATGGGGTCACCAGGACAGCATACATCCTAAGGAAGATTCTCATTCTTTAGTTTTCAGTCCTGTAAACACAGACTCTATCAGAGATCATTGAATTTATGTCATATGAAATGTACCAGGACTGAAGGATGAACTCTAGTGCAAATTTTTTTTTCTTCTTTTAAATTTTCTCTAGGACTTCATATTCTGATGTTATTTTTATTGAAGTATAGTAGATTTACAATGTTGTGTTCACTTCATGTGTACACCACAGTGATTCAGTTATGCATATATATATATTTTTTTTTTCAGATACTACTATAAGTTCAGATACAAAATATTATTCCTTGTGTTACACAGTAGGTCCTTGTTGGTTGGTTATTTTATATAGAATAGTGTGTGTATATATATCAATCCCAAACTCCTAGTTTATTGCCCCCCCACCCTGATTTCCCCTTTGGTAATGTAAGTTTGTTTTCTATGTCTGTGGGTCTATTTCTGTTTTGTGAATAAGTTCATTTGTGTCATTTTTTTAAATTCACATATAAGTGATATATGTGTGCATGCTAAGTGGCTTCAGTCGTGTCTGATTCTCTGGGTAGTGTTTGCATCAATGTCTACAAGTAGGGGTGTGTTTACCCCTTATTTCCGATTTGTGTACATGAGGCTCCTTCTCTGCCTAACTGCTCTAGTTAATACTTGCAGTGAGCATTGATGGGATGCTGGCTGTCCTTGACTTTCTCTGGGCTGAGTGGCAGTATTTCCTTTGATTCCACAGAAAGTCTCTGGCTTTTAGGTTGTTGCGTGTATACATAAAAGTGGAATTCAGTAGTTGCTTCGATATTTCATTTTTTTTCATCAAGAGGGGTTGTCCTTTGCCAGAGCCTCTCGAGCTCCACAGAGGTTATCGTGTGGTTTTCGTTCTCGGCGCCAGTGTGAGTGGAGCAGGGCGGTGGCTGGTGCTCCCTGCATCCCTGGGACAAACCCCTTTGGATCAGGACACAGTTTTCTCTAAAGCACTGAGGATGCTGGTTCCCCCTGTGACAGGAGGGGCCTGTGCACGGGCAGCCCTGCGACCCTGCAGTTCAGGGCTCCTGTGATGTCACTGCTCTCCTCTGACTCTGGGGCCCTGCCAGCTTCCGGAGGCCTCTGTCCTCTCTGACTTTCAGCAGGCGCGTGATCACTGCTGCTTCCTGGTACCAGCTAGGATGCCCTGGCATCTTCTATCTGCTCCTCTCGCTGGGTCTTGACCATACTAAGGGATCCCATCCTCAGCGGTTCCCTAGAGGTGCCGGTCCTGGTATGTGAGAATCTCTGAAGTCCCCTGCCCTCTTCTTCACCCCGTTGGGATGTCCCCGGCTTTCTCGGGGACCGATGAGCACACTGGTCTCTGTTTTAGTAGCTCTTCTGGACTTCCCTGGGGGCTCAGACGGTAAAGCATCTACCTACAGTGTGGGAGACCCGCTTCATCCCTGGGTCAGGAAGATCTCCTGGAGAAGGAAATGGCAACCCACTCCAGTACTCTTGCCTGGAAAATCCCATGGATGGAGGAGCCTGGTGGGCTACAGTCCATGGGGTCACAAAGAGTCGGACACGACAGCAATTTCACTTCACTTCACTTCTGTGTAATTTAGAGCTGACAGATTTTGTGTCTTCTAAGTTTCATGATGGTGGGTTGTTGGTTCTCCCTGCATCATCCTTGCTGCTCTGTGAGGTGAGACAAGTGAGTGGGTTCTGCGAGATGCCTCCTCTGTTTTTCTAGGGCGAATGTGCCATGTTTCCAGGGAGACATCTCTGGTGATGTGTAGAGCACCCATGTCAAGGGTTGGGGGAGTCTCCACACCCCCATGCTGACGGGAAGATACTCACGGATGCTGTCCGAATGCGTGAGACCCAGGAGAGACTGGGAGACTTCATCCCTTCCCACGGACTGTAAGAGGGATTTGTGGGGAGATGGTGGAGCGGGGGCCCTGTGGGCAGGTGTATCTGGCCCCTTTTCTGATCAGGTTGATCCACATGCGTACCTGCCTCGTGTGCTCAGGTCTCCTCTGGGTTGAAATTCTGAAACTTGCCACTTAATCTTCATCAGTCATGTTACTGAGTCACGTCTGTCCCTACCTGTGTCCAGACACTGTCCTGACTCCTGCTTCCTGTTCCTATCATTTCACAAAATCCATTAACTCTGTGACTCTGACTTTTTTTTTTTTAAGAATCATCTCCCCAAGTACTCATAATACAAATATCTCCTTTTGTATAATCTGAAAGGGACTCAGATTTTCCCCTTGGCTGGGTAAGCAGGTACACTGTAATTTTCTTACAGACGACAGAGAATCGGGCACATGTGTTGCTCTAGTTCCCGTGGGTTGTGTGGAGCCGCTCATACTCCACTCAGGCTGGCGACGAGGTGCACTGCTGAATGTCAGAGTCACCCCGCTAGGGGTGTCAGGACCCCTCCACTCTCGATTTCTGGCTGAACCCATGGTAGACTCATTTTCAGCCTGTGGTTCCCAGTGTGTTGTTCAACAGGGCTTGGAACATTGTCCTCGTTACACGGCTCATTAGGAGGGAACATTTCCATCTTCTCTTCTCTGCGCTATTCAGTTGGAGGTGTTTATCTGTACAGTTTTTGTGTTAGATTCATCAAGATTCAAACTGTGTTGTGAATAAAACTGAGGGAGGCAGGATGCACAGGAGAAACAAGAAAAGATTTCTTCCTTTTTTGCAGCATAAAGAGGTAATTATATAAAATTTAAAGTAAGATTTTTTTCCATTGTCATTGGCCCAACTTCACAACATGGTACCCCTAGTGACAGGACAAGAAGGCCTACTCCAAAGTGCATATTTTGCAAGTTTCAATGTTTCTACTAAGATCAAGATAATTCCAGAAAAATTTTACTGATTTCTTTACCTTAGCTATTCCCATTACATTAGTTTTATTTCCGTTCATGTTCAGTATTACAGAGAGCCTCCATATCATGTCACAGACCATGTTATAAGGGGCACTGAGAAGAATGAATGCTCATTTCTCCTGAGCCCTAATGTTGTCTCAGATCCTGAATAAGATAAACCAGAGAACATTTACAGAAAACCTCAATATCTGTCATAGCAAGAATTGTCATCTGTATGCTGTAACATGTTGACCTTTTAGATAAAAACATTTTATTTACAAATTTTTTAAGTTGTTGGAAATATAAATTAATACTATTTACATCATAAGATACACGTTTTGTATTAAAGTGAAAGTCGCCCAGTCATGTCTGACTCTTTGTGACTCCAAGGACTATATAGTCCATGGGATTCTCCAGGCCAGAATACTGGAGTGGGTAGCCTTTCCCTTCTCCAGGGGATCTTCCCAGCCCAGGGGTTGAACCCAGATTTCCTGCATTGCAGGTGAATTCTTAACCAACTGAGCCACAAGGGAAGCCCTTTTTGTATTAAAAGATGTAATTAATGCATACCAGTAATTTGGGAGAAGGAAATGGCAACCCACTCCAGTGTTCTGGCCTGGAGAATCCCAGGGACAGGGGAGCCTGGTGGGCTGCCGTCTATGGGATCGCAGAGTTGGACATGACTGAAGCGACTTAGCAGCAGCAGCAGCAGCAGCAACAGCAGTAATTTGGGATGAAAGGTCAAGCTTAAATGATGATTCATAATAATAAAATACTTTTTGGTAACCTTGAAGTCATACTGAAATATGACATAGCTCTAAAATAAGGATCACATACTTCTATGCTCACATGGCATTGAAAGTGAAAGTGTTAGTCACTCAGACGTGTCCAGCTCTTTGACCTGATGGACTGTAGCCTGCCAGGCTCCTCTGTCAATGGAATTCTCCAAGCAAGAATTCTCCAATGGTTTCCATGCCCTTCGCCAAGGATTCTTCCTGACCTAGGGATGGAATCTAAGTCTCCCGCCGTGTAGGTGGATTCTTTACCATCTGAACCACCAGGGAAGCCCCACATGACATTAATTGACCTTATAATCTGGTGTTTCTGGAAGGGACCTAAGAGGTCCTCTAGCATAAGATTCCAGCTGATATAGGAATGCCTTCCCCCAGGTTCCCGAGAAATCACCCATTCTCGGATAGAGCATTTCCAGTGACAGAGACATCACCACCTTCAAAAGCAGCACGTTCTGCTGGGCGACTGTGAGGTTTAGACAGTCATTCATGTATTCACCCTAAACATGTCCTCCTGCAGCTTCCAGCATCCATCCTTAGCACGGCACCCTCCCACCACAGGGTTCCCGGCCCACTTCCACCGGCCCTCACCTCAAGCGTTGAGATGAGATGATGAAATCTCCCCACTAGGCTTGGGTCCCCTTTCTAAACCACACTCGCTGCCTCTCCAGCTGTTCCTCGTGTGACCCACTTTTCAGTCACCTTCTACCATGCTCTACACATGCTCGTTTTCAGATTCTTTTCCCTTGTAGGTTATTACAAGATACTGGACAGAGTTCCCTGTGCTATACAGTAGGTCCTTTTTGGTTATCCATTTTGTATATAATAGTGTGTAAATGTTAATACCAGCCTCCTAATTTATCCCCCACCCCCTTTCCCTTTCAGTAACCTTAAGTTTGTTTTCTAGGTCTGTGGATCTATTTCTTTTTGCAAATAAGTTCATTTGTATCTTTTTTTTTTCAGATTCCATATGTAAGTGATACATGACATTTCTCTTTGTCTGTCTTACATCAGTCA